GGATAATATACCATATTTTATTTTTTATAAGTTTTCTTAAAATTAATTTTTACAGAGAGAGAAACAGAGAGAGAGAAAAAGATGGATGTGGGAGTAAAACACCCATTAACTGCCCCCTGCATGCCCCTCTACCAGGGATCGGGTGTCGAGCCCACAACCCTGGCATGCGCCCTGACTGGGAATTGAACTGACATCCTCTAGGTGCACAGGGCAATGCCCAAGCAACTGGGCCACTCCAGTGTGGCTATACCATATGTCTTTACCTGTTCATCCACTGATGACTGTGGCTTGCTCCCACCACTGAGCTCTTGTGAATAATGCTGCAATGAACAAGGTTGTGCAAATATCTCTTTGATATTCTGCTTTCAGTTCTTTTGAATATTTACCCAAAATGATATTGCTGGCTCATCTGGCAGTTCTCTTTTCAATTTTCTGAGGAACATCCATATTGTTTTCTATAGTGGCTACCCCATTTTGCCTTCCCACCAACAGTGCAAAATGGTTCTAATTTCTCTACATCTAGGCCAACACTTGCTATCTTCTTCTTTTTTTGATAGTGGCTACCCAAATGAGTGTGAGGTGAAAATCTCATTTAGCTAAATTTACAGAGAATAAATGTAACACCTAAATATTAAAATATATATAATTTGATTCTGTTTTCAAAAATTAGTCTTTATATATTCTTCTCTCTCATCCATCTTTCTAGTTTAACAGATATTTAGATATGTTTGGGATGATATTTACTTGGTATTGAAGGTGGTTCTTTCTTTCTGATAAGTGGGGTTTGGATTACCTAAGATGAAACTCTTTCTATGATCTTTTTCATATTATTTGAAGTTTTTATGAAGGACATATATCATCTCAAAAAAACCCACAAACAAACCCCAAAACTAATAAACAATGAAGTCCAAATTTGTAAAAATCACAGCATTACCACCATCTCTGTTTAGAAACTTTTTTCTGCTAGCTATTATAGTAAATCTCTGGCAACTATATTATAAATTTTAGAATTGAAGTGAAAAATAAAAAAGATTGTAGGAACAGTACAACAGTACATTTTTCCTTAATATTTAAATCTAAAAGAATATGTTTTAAGAAAGCATACATTACAAGCCAACACCATCTGGGGTTCCTAGATAAAGGTATTTCTCAATTTACATATTCCATAACTCCACAGGTTACACAATTAAAAAACGTGTAGTAGCTTATTAAAGCTATAAATAGAAGCTAAGCTTATCTTCAACAAAGCAGCAGGACATAAATTACAATTTTTGTGTAAACCTATTACCACTCCTATATCAATTTTATGAGGAAAATATATAAGCCCAGTGTGGTTATAAATTTAAGAAATTATTGGTACATCTATGAAGCACTGAGGTATGCATTGTGCAGAAAGTTAGGAAGTAGATCCCTTTTCTGGTGAAGTGTGTAGTGTGCAATGATGACTGACTTTTGTATTGAACCAAAATGCAAATTGATCATCTTGATTCTTTGAAGTCAAAAAGAATGTTTTTTGCAAGCCTCCCCTTTTTTCCATCCTTAGCTTCTTTTTAAAGTTAGAGCAGCTGGTGTTTGACAAGGCAGCATCCCGTAGGCGCAGTTTAGCAAGTTCTTAGACCCCTTGGCCTGGCTGCCTTTCTACAACCATACTAGCGCACTTAAAGCAGAGGTTACTCTGCCTGGCCTGGCCGGTGTGGGTGTGGCTCAATGGATTGAGCATGGTCTCCTGTATCAAGAGGTCACCAGTTCAATTCTGGGTCAGGGCATGTGCCCAAGTTGTGGGCCCAATCCAATGGGAGGGGGGTGGGCGGCCACCAATTGATGTTTCTCTCTTATCAATTTCTCTATGTCTCCCCCTCCCTTTCCCTCTCTAAAAAATCAATAAAAACATATTAATAAAAAAAAAAAAAGGAGCTGTTTCCACACCCTCCGAAGAGTGAGCTTTTATCCTCCTCACATTCATAAGTAATGACTTTCGAATTCATGAAAATCAGCAGCCTTCATTTGCAAAGAACTATCTCAGCATATCATGTCAGAGTCACTTTCAACCTCTTTAAAGGACAATTGTGTTATATCTAGGGCTATAGGACTGATCCATTTTACCTACCTGTGATCATAGAACCTTCCTCAAAATTAACTGTTTTTCAAAGTTAACTACAGGATGTTAATACTTGCAATAATTTTGTGTTAATAAAAGAACACGCTCTTTACTCATGGCCATCAGCTAATGTAACTGACTGGGCCTGTAGGAGTAAATATACCCATGTTCTCTGAGGTCATGGGGCAGTTCAGGATAAAGTATGTGAATGTGACTTTGGCACAGCAAGTGGCTGGACTTCAAACTGTGGTGCATGTCTAAGGTTGCTGTCTCTTTAAATAGTCTTCTTTGCTTATTGGGAATGATAGTGATGTTTTAAAGGCATTAGAAAAAAAATTTTGTTTCAATATATTCTAATAAAGGAAAGCATACCTAAATGAAATACTTTAAAATTATCATTGGGAAAAAACCAGCAAATATTATAGGTATAAAATTTTAATTTTGAATGGTATTAAACGAGGGAGGACAACCTAATGCAGGATTAAGGACACTGGCTGCGGATGATAGACCTGAATTTCAGTAGGGCTTTTCCACCTATTAGCATCTGACTTTGGTCTTTTTACCCAACCTCTCTGATATTTAATTTCTTCTAGAAAATGAGGACTACGTCCCTCCTATCTAATTTACAATTGCTATAAAATGATAATACACAATGTCAGTGTCACTTAATGAATATTACTTAATGGCCATTGCAGTGCATAAGAACTGATAAGACTCTTTGCCTGGAAAATAAAAAAGTGCTAATTATTTTGTAGCTGGTGGCCCACTGCATGAAGTTGTGCACCTTGAAAGGAACTGTGGGCCGTGAGGCTGCAGTGGGCACAGGGGCAGGTTTCCACCGTTCGGTCTATTTGCATATTAGCCTTTTAATATATAGGATGAAATAGTAGCATTGAAAGTGGTGTGTGCTCAGCTGATGTGCTCAGCAGTTGAATGTCGACCCAGGAACCAAGAGGTTGCCAGTTCGATTCCTGGTCAGGGCACATGCCCAGTGTGGGCTGAATACACAGTGGGGGCTGTGTAGGAGGTAGCCAATTGATGACTTCCTCTCTCATTGATGTTTCTATCTCTCTATCCATCTCCCTTCCTCTCTCTCTAAAAATAAAAAAAATATATTTAATAAAATAAAAGCAGCAATCTCTTCCTGTGCCCCTAGCACTCAACCACATCCCTTGTTGAAAAAAATAAAAAAAGAAAGTAGTTTGTATTTGCTGCTAATTAATAATGGTTTTATATTTATGGGGGCTATAACATTTTCCAATGTACATAATACATTAAATAAGGCCTAGTTATATTTTCTTGGATCTGTTGGAATAAAATTTAATGAACACTTGCAAGAAATCGGATTGTTTTGCAGAGCAGTACAACCAAGACCAACATGAAGGTGGAAATCACTCAAAAACCTAGTGATTATATTTGTCCGAGTTAAGAGGACAATCAATGAAAAGCAGATACACAATGCACAGGTTCTTCAGGGATGCCAGGTATAAATTGTCACAATTGTTGTCTTCCTAGGGTTCCTGGAGACTAGTTTGATCCATGCTGTGTTGTATGCCCCTCTAGCAAGTAGATTTTATATTTTCTAAGATGACAAACAGTGATAATGCTTTTTGAAATAAAACTGTTGAGAAAATAAAGACTGTGACATCTGAAGGTTTTCATCATTCTGAAATGATAAATGTGAATATTTACAATTTCCTCTCAATTGTGAGCTATAATAATTTCTATGTCAAAGAATTTTTAAATGGATAATCGACATAAAGGGAAGAGGAGAGGAAGTATTTGAGAGAGGACTGGCCCTTAGGTGAGGATATTGGAGATCTGCAGTGAGGAGACAGTATTTCTAATCTTTTTGGGTTTCAGCTCCCCACCTGCAAAATACGTGGGTTGGTATAGCTTCTCCTTTTCAGCTCTGAAATTCTGTGACCTTGTGATACTCCTCATACTTTGTGACACAGGATGTCCATCACTGACTGGAGGGTTTTCTCCATTTGTGGGAGGCAGTGCTGAGCACTGAACAGTGTATAAGAATGTAGATCATAGAGCTGTGTTTTGAATCATATTCAGTGCTCATGGGATTTTTGGCAAGTTACACAAACTTCTTTAAGCTCCTGTCTCTTCATACACCAAATGTAGAGAATAATCTCTCTATATAAAAGCCCAAGTGACTGTTACAATCAAAAGATTGGTCAACCAATCGACCAGTCCACTGGTCACTATGACACGCACTGACACCAGGGGGCAGACACTCAATGCAGGAGCTGCCCCCTGGTGATCAGTACACTTCCATAGCCAACCGCCTGCGGCTGGCCAACCTCCCGCGGTCCCTCCCCACGACTGGCTGGGTGGTCAGTGCATTCCCACAGCCAACCTCCCATGGCCAGCCAGCCTCTCATGGTCCCTCCCCCTGGCTAGTGGGCCCCCATGGGCCCCGATTGGGACTGGGTGAGATGGCCCGATCACCAGCCAGCCTAAGGACTCCACCTCTGCATGAATTTATGCACCAAGCCTGTAGTGCCTATATAATAGAGTGCTTGAAATGACAAAGGAGACATCTTGGTCAAAACCAGGTATGAGTACCGCTGGGGATTTATAGTGGGCTTCAGGGATGAGTGATTAAGAGCCTAGGCCTGGAGCCAGATGGCCTGGGACTGAATCTCAGCTCCGCCACTTGCTACCTACAGCCGTTGGGCAAGTTACTTCTTCAAGTTCTGCTTCAATTTTCTGTTCTGTATCTGTGGGTGATGATAGTACCTACCTCCTAGGGTCATTTGAGCAAGAAATGAGTTCCCGTGTAAAGTGCTTAGAAAACTGCCTAGCACATGAAGCACTCAACAAATTTTCTATCATTATCATCATTATCATCACCATCACCATCACCATCATCACCGCCATCATTATCGTCATCACTATCATCATCACCATCATAGTTGCATAAACTCAGGATGAACTTGGTATGTGTCATCCTTATGTTTTAATTCTATGTTCTAATTTTTTGGAAAAAATACTACTTTTATTAGAACCAACATTATATATTATGGGATAGAATTAAAAGATTTCATAAATATTAATAAAACCCAGTGGAGCAGTATAAAACACTTTCTGGCATCCTGAATGCATTCCACAGATTAATTCTTAGTATTAGTATTAGCAATAGTGTATTCTACTTTATCTGTAACCTCCTGAATAATTTGTTATTAATTATTAACAGAATAGCCTAGCTTTGTGTGCAAGGAGTAAGCGATCACACAGGGAAGAGAAAGCAGGAAAGCATTTCACAATCAGAACATGAACCTAATCTCACATTCCCTTTGCCACTCCACACCTGTGCTGCACTGCACAGGTTTTACTCTTCTAATACAACTGTGGTCCCGGGAAATGCTAGATTGACTTCTCTGATGAACTGAGTTTCAATTTCAGTTTAATAATATTAGATTTTTTAGGTTTATATTATAAATTCCTATTATAGTTGTCTGAGATCCATGACAAATGGTTTTTGAAATGTTAATTTAATTATAGATTCAGAGAACAATAAATAATGCTAGCCATAAAGAGCAATAATTCAATAAATATTTCTTTGGCATATACAAATGTGTCAAACCCTGCTAAGTGCTGGGCATAAAAGGTGGATAAGCTCTAATCCTTTCTGTTGAGTTCTCAGCATTTGGGGGATGGCACACACTGTTGTTTGGCTGAATCTGTCGCTCTTTCTAACCCTCTTCTCTCTTGCATGCCAACACCATCGGCTGAAAATCCCTAGCAGCTACTGAGATGTGAGTAGACATTTGCTGGAGGCGATGGTGGTGGTAGAGGTAGTAGGAATACTTCTGTTTTCCTTTTAAAGGAAGGAGGTTGTGGCTCATGCTCTCCTTCCTCTTCCTTTTGCCTTGAACACAGATTTAGTGCCTGCAAGGAAGCAGCCATTTTGGGACTATGAGGTGAAACGCCAAAAATAATTGGAAAGCTATTAGGCCTCAACACCTGATGCCACTATGTCCTGTCCTGACTTGTTAAATTTCCTTTGTAAGACAAAAATAAAAATTTAAAATGTTTGTAAACGTTGTTAGGTTTTCTGTTATTGTATCCAAGGACCATCCTAACTGAGAGGAGACATACTTGTCTGCATATGATCATGAGACAACATGTTAGTTGTCATAGCTATAATAATAACTTTTCTGGAGTTTAGTGGTTTAGAAGTCATATAGGCACAACTGGCAGCATACTTGAGCCTATGGTGAGGAACCAATAAGCAAGAAATGATTTTTAAGGCAGTAATTTTGAAGAAATACAGGAAATAGATCAAGCAGAATTTGAGCATTTACATATATTTATTTTTAAATATTTCACTGTCAGATTTTTAAATCTGACAGTGCTTGTGCTGATTGCATAATAGTTATTCATGAGGCTAAATTAATTTAAACTTTCAATATATAACTGGTAAACTTTATCATACATAATTCTAAATCTTCTAAGCCAAATAATTTAGAATTCTACTTTAGTGAGTAAAGATTGGCATTATAAGACAATATAAAATACTGGGAAATGTGCCCCATGAAAGGGTAACTAACTTTCTGGAAATAAGTTGAATAAGCTACAGAGTATGTGAACATGAAATTGAACTTTCAATATGTATATCTATATATCTATATCTATATCCATCTATTATCTATCTATCATCTATCTATCTATCTATCTATCTATCTATCTATCTATCTATCTATCTATCTATCTATCTACTCTTATATAATGAAAGCCTAATATGCTGTGTGTCCGTCATCTGGTCATCTGTTCAACCAATCAAAGCATAATATGCTAATGATATGCTAAGGCTGTTCAACCGCCCGCTATGACGTGCACTGACCATCAGGGGGCAGACAGTTGACCGGCTGACCAATTGCTATATCGTGCACTGACCATCAGGGGGCAGACGTTCTGACTGGTAGGTTAGCTTGCTGCTGGGGTTTGGCCGATTGGGACTGAGCGAGACTGGCCGAACGTGCTGTGGAGCCCTCCCCTGGTCCCTCTCTGGCTGGCCAACATCCCATGTCCCTCCCCAGCCCTGATAGTGCATTGGTGGGGTCCCTCGGCCTGGCCTTCACCCTCTCGCAATCTGAGACCCCTTGGGGGATGTCAGAGAGCTGGTTTTGGCCTGATCCTGCAAGGCCAGGCCGAGGGATCCTACTGGCGCAAAATTTGTGCACTGGGCCTCTAGTATGTGTGTGTATATATGTGTGTGTGTATGTGTGTGATTGTGTATATGTATATATATGGCACAACAGAACGTTAGGTAAAAAAAAAAATTAGTTTCTATCTTCACCAGGTTTATGATCGATTGGGTTAGACATAAAGATCGTTTTAAAAACCAAAACTCATAAGCATGCTTACAAAGCAACACACAATAAAACACTAATCAGTGTAAAGCAAAAGGAATGCTTTAAATTAAGTGGAGTGTATTGAGGAAAGAGCACAGCTTTGGAGTGAGACAGACGTAAGTTCAGTCCTGGCTCTGCCACTTCCTGCCTGTGCAACCTTGTGGCTTCATTTCTGGGTGCCTGATATCCCTGGATAGGTATAGCAATGTTTACCTTGCATGATCGTTGCAAAATTGCATGTAAAGGACCTGGCACTGCACTGTTAAGTAGGTGGGAGCTAATTGTTAAAATAATAGAATAATAACAGATGCTGAATAATTTAGAAATAAATGATTAGTAAAATAAAATGGGGTAAAATGAGCAAAAAGCATTACTTTTGCTTTTGCTTGGTACATTTAGAGATTAACTACTGTTTGGAACCACATTATGACTTTCTTCAGATCCATCATATATATTCCCCCTCCTCCTCACCTCCCTTTTTAATTCCTTCTTTCAGCAATCATTCTTAGAAGCCACTAAGTGTACAGAATTCCCTCCAGTATGGAATCTATGGCCTATAGGATGAGAGAGAACGTGGACAGGTAAAGAAAGAAGTAATTTCAGATTGAAAGTGCACTGAGGGAAATGAACTGGGGCTGAGATGGGGAACATCCCGCTGAGGGAAGTGATTTGGATGAAAGGGTCTATTTATATCAAGCATTATGTTCCTTTAATTATGCCACTTCTCCATTGGTTAGGAGAGTGGAAAAGACACGTGAAGCTAGTAAGGGACAGAATTTTGATTGCAATTTATCATTTTCCATTGAACTGCATCATTGTCTGCTTTGGGAATCATCTGGAATAGAATGTAAAAGTGAACAGTAAAATGTCAAGAAACCACTTTTAATATGTTAGGCAGAAAGAAAGTATTAGCATTCTTCTCCACTAGGAAAGAAATCAATAAGAAAGAAGAAAAAAAAAATCAATGAGTTTGTAGGAAAACACCAAAACCATGTTTGTATACTATTTTCCATTTTTGTTGCTATCTATAAAACTGCCTTGAGACTTCAGCTAGTAAATAGTAACTAATGTAATCTTCAATTTTGTCCATTCCTTTGGGGTGATACGGCCTAACAACAGAATCTGTTCCTAAAATACTGTATTTCACTCAAGACATTTCCCCTTTGGCCGGAAGTACAAAGGTATTTCCCCGTTGGCTTTGTAAGAATGAACAAAATTGTATTGATGTTTAGGCAATGAATCAGAAACAAGAAACTGCATTTCCCAATACATATTTTATAAAGAGAAGAGGTTGCAAATGATTGGCGTGCTATAAGTTTAAAAGGCATTCGTCAGTGAGTAAACTGGCCTTTCAAAAGCATTATTTTGTTAGACGAAGGATTTCAACCACCTGCCAATGCTGTCAATCATCTTGACTTACTGTAGGATTTTTGCAGTCCTCTGTTAGAATGTATCAAGACTGCAGGCAATAATGTTGGTTTCCACCGAAAAAAGTGCCTGCAAATATTTTGTGTTTCAAAAACTTCCATGATCAATATTTCTGAGGGCAGAAACATATGGGAATAAAAAGCTGACAGACACGAGTGTCAGCCACCATGCAAGGGGCTGGCCTTGTAGGTGCTACCATTCTAATAGGGAAGCAAGATGTGTCATAAATGTCCCAGAAAAACATGTTTTGACAGAGTTTCCAACTTCAGTCTAAAGGTTCCTGAGCTCCCTCACCTTTTTTTTCTTCACCATCACCATTTTATCCTTTGATTCACATGACTATCAATAGATGATTTGTGTCTCTTTTGCCCATGCTTCTACTTTGTTTAAAGAGAAGAAGAAATCATCTACGTAATGGCTTATATAGACAGCAGATTCAAATTGTAGTTTTCTAAGATAAGTAGATTTTCAAAGTAGAGATCTTCCTCTTAAATCTCTTGGTAGAAATTAAAACTCAGAACTTCCCTTTAATTCAATGGTCCAGTCAATCAAGTATTGGCTATTGGTCAAATACATGGTTGAGACAGCCATGGCTCCATGGCCAGATCTTGAGATTGGCAGGTGGTGGTGGTGGTGGGGAGGGGGTTGTTTCATTTTTTGTTTGTTTGGTTTTTTTGCATCAAAAAGCAGATGACTAAATTCATTTGTGTTAGGTGAGAAAATTGATTTGATTTTGTTTCTATGAAGATATGTAATCAGATACATGCTACTAAACATAGTGTTGAAATAATTGACCTCTGTCCATTTTGTCAATGTCGTAATGTTAGACACATAAATAAAAACTTTCAGCAGAGTTGTTTTTTGTTCTGCTCCTCAAAGATACCCTACATAGATACACTGAAGTATCTCTTACCTATGACTTGAATTTAGATTGATCCTTGTAGAAAGCATTGATTTTTTTACCTCTCTTTTTTTTATTTTGTTTTAATGCTTAAAGTATTACATGTCTCCTCCCCCCCCCTTGACATTCCCCCAGTCTCCCCTATAAGCATTGATTGTTTAATCATTAAATTATTTCAGCTAAGCATTAAAAACATTTCTTACTTTCAAAAAACGTTTCTATTAACATAGAATATAAATAGTGACTTTAGATGAGTACTTGTATTACTCTGAAAGTTAGTGTTTATTTGAAGTTATTTGTCTACCAGGGCCTTTGTCAAAAGCTAAGGAAATTAGATGTTTAAGTAGAGTGTTATAGATAAGAAAGGATTATTTTTTGCAAAAGCTACCTCTTTAATTGTATTAAAGAGAATATAAGGAAAATTAAAAAGGAAGAATTATTTGACTCCATTTGAAGCTATCAGAGAGTTTAAAGAATACCTGATCCAATCTTTTCATTTTTTACATGAAGCTGCTGAACATCTGGATACGGTCACTCAACTAGGTGATGACTATCTTAGAACCTAAATCTTCAGACCAAGACTAGCACCCATTTCTGCACCCTTTGTTCCCTCAGTTTTCATTTTCCAGCCACAACAAAGCCCCGATTGAAAGAGAAATGTCTGGTTATAGGAAATATAGCTATAGAGATGGGCAACTTTTCTAAGATTCTGACAAAGGCGAAAATGAAGAGTAAAAGGAAACAGCCAGTGCACGTTGTGGATTTTATTCTTTAAGGAATTTGTATTTTTCATGTGCTTTAAAGTAATCTGACTATACCTGTTGGTTTCCTGAATGTGTTCCTGCCAGACTATATGTAAATCACATCTGTATAAATCAAATTATAAATACAACTAGGGTGCATTATCTAGAGATGTCCTTGGTAACTTTGTAAAAGGATTATTTCTCAATATTAAACACTAACTTTATCTATTTGTAACGCTAGCTACTTATTATATATGAGAGCTTTTTCTCTTAATGAGACTGTGTCACACTTCAAGCTGGTGAAAAAGTTTAGATTCCTACATAGCTTTCCCATATCTCTTTGTTGCTCTCATCTCTTTTTCCTCGCCTTTCTATACTCCTATTCCTGTCTCCAATTCCCATTCATCATATTTTAAAAAAAAATTTTTAATGGATTTAAATGCATTTTTTTGTTTTAAAAATTAGTTAGATTGACCTATAATTGACAAATAAAATTGTATATATTTAAAGTATACAACATGATGCTACTCCCTTCTTTTGACTTGATATAGATTTCCATGAAACTTATCCTTCTTAAAGTGAATTCACAGCCTCATGTTCACCATTTCACTATTAAGTTATTAATTTATGTGATGTATTCCCTTTTCTTACATTGTTCCTTCCCCCACTTCCTGTCCTCACTTTCTTACTTTATTTTTTAATTCAACAGAAGAGTTTGAAAGCTGCTGAGTCAGCCCTTGGTCACTTTCCAGCCGCTGTGCATGAGTAATGGACTTTGGCTGGACACATCAAAATTAAATTCTCAGATCGCCTTAGCTTTAACAGAATTGCACTGACATTCTTTTCTATTCTTTGTAATGCATTCCCTATAGAACTTTATCACAATTGTCAGATGCTGGGGGCTGGGCTTGTACTCATACTAATTGACTTTACAGCAAGATGGCTTCTTTTGAATCCGCACGTCTAATTCAGTGTAATTCAATGGAAAGAACCCTATCCTAGGAGGCAGCAGATGTAATTTGTGTTTCTTGGATCAATTATATAACCTCCTGGTTTCTTTTTAACTATAGGGATTGAAGTAGGTGAACTTTAATATTCCTTTCTAGCTCTTCAAAATTCTGTGAGTACTGACCTGGGCTTAAACTCACCTGTAAGTAAAATGTTTTATGTGAGTGTTTTCTCTCATAGAACTAAACAGGTAGCCATCAACATCATCTCACTGAGCGCGTCAGCTTCTTTTCTCCTGCAATTAACTGTTTGCCAGTTCTCTCAACTCTCCTCAATCAGCTGTCTTCTCCATTCCCTCAGCAAGTGTATAAGGAGCCCATTCATACTTAAATTCCACGTCAATTATTTACATGAGTGTTTTTGTAAATCTGTTCCAAATAGTCTTATTTCTGCAGCACTCAACGACTCACCTTAAAATTCATGTAAATGTTTCTCTTATGATCATATAACAATCTTAGAAGCTGTCCTCAGTAAACCAGCTGTAGTTATCTGTATATATTTCTGTAATAGAGCCTTCTAGGGTTATTAGAAACTTGGAGAGAATGCTATCATGCTCATTTCCATGTATATTAGAGCTTCAATGGTTTTAGTTGTGAAAAACAGCTCTCCCACAAATTGAACTGTTAGTAAGATAAACGCATGCTCTGTATTAGAGCTGACAGAGCAGTGACTGGTAAAATCTAGTCACTGATCTAAAGCCAATACAACAAATCAGATGACCTTCAGTGCCTTTTAATTATCATTTCTGAATAGGTTTCTGTTACTAGAGAAAGAAAGATTTTAGGATAATAAAACCAGTATTACTATTCAAATCTGAAAAATTGATAGTCAAGTCATCTCCTTGTCAGCAATGCTAAATATCAACTAAGCTACAATGACAAAACAGTGAAAAGCTAATATCTTTTGCATGAAGACTTACAAAATATACATTATTCATTTCCTTTTTCTATCTAAGCTAAGGCCCATTTCATCTTAAACTAACCCAAATCCAGTTTTCAAATTTCCAGGAGCACCATTTTGTAGGTTGGCATTTAATAGAATTTCTTTTATGACCTAAAAGGAATGCTGTCTGATCACCTCTCTAATCAGATAAGAGTGATTGAAAGTAGATGAATGGGTTTTATTGCTTAATCATATTATGACCCATATAAGCAATAATACCTCAATTTCCTGTAAATGTAGTGCAGATAGAAGATATTAACTTAATTATTGGATACTCATCTATGCAAATACCTCAATTTTATATTTTTTTTCAGAAGTCCTAAGTTTTTTCTTGGAAATGCTAGCCTAAAGTCCAATAATAAAAATTTAGTTTCTGGTATACATTTAGCATGCCATTATTTCATTAATCACTCTGGATTGTTCAGTTATAAGTTTTTAACTGAGTAATTTGAAAGTGTAAAATAACATTGATGTTTGTGAAGGAATCAAGATTTTGATTAATAAATATTAAATGCAAACCATCATTTGAAAGTGATAAATGAAAAATAGTATAAATACCTTTAGTTCTAAAATTTGAATTTTCTGTATTTCTGTAGTGTTCCAGTTTTTTAAACTTTTGCCCACATTCCAATTTACCATAACTTAATCTTCT